TGGAACCCTAAAACCTTAAAGCCCTAAAACCAAAAACCCTAAACCCCCAAAACCGTCTAAACCCCTAAAATCGCCTAAACCCCGAAAACCGCCTAAACCCCTAAAGCCCTCTTTTTGGACCCCCTTAAACGTGGGGCCTAAGGCCGAACCTCGTGGACATGCAGCTGCTCGCTCGGACCTTCGCCAAGGCTCTGGGCCCCTTTTTTCCTCTGCCAAAAGGGGTTTAGGGTTTAGGGTTTTAGGGTTTAGGGTTTTAGGGTTTAGGGTTTGGGGTTTAAAGTTATAGGGTTTAGGGTTTTAGGTTTTTAGGTTTAGGGTTTAGCGCTTTAGGGATGTAGGGGTTTAGGGTTTAGGGCTTAGGGGCCCTTGAAGAGTTGCGAATTACTAGTCCGAAGGTCGGATTGCTTGACCTTATCTTGTTCTAATTGTTAAAGGCCCTTAGATTACGCTGAACCCGGAACCCCAAACTCTAAAGCCTTACTGTTCTTGGATCGTTAACGCCTTCTTTGCAAAGCCGCGGAAGGCGCACGGGCTCCGACCGCTGGGCACCTTGCTAGCGTTTCAGAGCATTCCTGCCCCATGCGTTGTCTCCTTCTTGCTTCAGGTTCCTGGCTGCTTTCCCAAGCCCTCCACCCTCAAACCCTAATTGCACCCGAAACCCTAGAGAAACCCTGCGCCCTCTACAGACCATGCTGTGGCAAAAGGCCCTCAAACCAACAAAAACCCTAAGCCCTAAGTGGTCTCAGGATTTGAGTCGTCCTCTCCATCGCGGTCCCCACGAAAGAAGCTTACCTCCCCGACCTCCTCCTCCTCGGCATCTCGACGGCGCGAGCTTAGGTAGAAGCTCTAAACATGTCTGAAGAACTCATTTGGGAGTTTCCGAAAATGAGGGGTACCTTATTTGGGGGTCCTTATAGTAAGGATCCTATAAATTATTAAGGGTACCAGTACTATATTAGGGCCCTCTATTTTCGGAAACCCCCCATTTTGCCATGCGGATCATGTTCTGTTGCGTTTCCGTTTTTTTCTGCAACCGTTCGGGAACCAGGGGGCCGGTTGCTGTCGTTCAGAACCTAAGCGCCCAAGGTCCGGCCGCGCACAAGGCTCCGGTCGGTTTCGATTCCGACAGTTCCAGATATTCAGGGCCTCTAACTGCGAACTTAGCTCTGAGAGCCGCGTCGAAGAGCATGTTCATGTTGACACAGTCGCACCCTAAACCCCAAACCCTAAACCCCGGTTATGAGAGCATTGCGCTGGATCCTAGCGTCTCTAGCCGTTGCAGCCCGGCGCATCGCAGGCGCAGTGTTCGGACCCAGGTTCAGGAGAGGGTTTTGAGTCCAATGTGGGAGTTTCCGAAATTAGGGGTACCTTATTTTGGGGTTCTTATAATAAGGATCATATTATTTAGGGTACTATATTAGGGTCCCCTATTTTCGGAAACTCCCATGTAGGAACCTGATTAAGAAACCCTGGGCCTTTATTGGGGTTCTTAACATGAACCCTAATATATTGGAGTTATAGGGCCAGGGTTTTTTTAAATCAGGTTCCTACATTATGAGCATTCTTTCCACCCGCTTTCAAGTGGTTGCAGCCATCTTCAGACATGGCCTCCCGGAGGAGTCGCTGGGGCAGATCGTGCTTGTCGTCCCTGCTGTGAATGATGGACTGGCTCAGGCCGAGAAGATCATGGTCTTGTTTCGTGTTGGTTGCAATCCAAGATCCTGGCTACAATCCTTGCATTTGATCATGCTTGATCGTTGTTTGCTGCGGTTTTTGCGTCAGAGCCCATTTGCAGGTCCCGAACTGGTTCGCGCAAGTGGACAGAACCGTCTTTGGAGAGGGAGCAGCAAAAGTCTCTAGGCTTGAAGAGTTCTTTAAGAGTAGAATGGGCCTACCGAGTATGCCAGTATGCTATGCGGCCATGCCTTCAAACAGGATTTGGCGTATTGCTGATTTTGACTGTTGGCCGTGAGCAGTCCAGCTGCCCTTTGAGCTGAGGACATACTCCTGTACGAGTTGGACTGGGTCTTCACTCTCTTGCTTGCTCGTGACTGCATGAGGAGTAGGAGAGGCCACAGGAAGCCACAGCACCGAAGGCGTAGATTTGAGAACGCCTGCAGGAAGAAGTAAGCGCAACCCGGAAAGTAGTGATCCCTGGACATAAGCGCAAACAGCAACGATCGTGTACCTGTATGCGGACACAGGTTTATTTTGCATGTCTTGATTTCCGTCTGCCTGCCTGTCTGCCTGTCTGCCCGTCTGCCTATCTGTCTGTCTGTCTGCATGTCTGTCTGTCAGCATGTACGTATGTATGTCTGTATATCTGTCTGCCTGCCTGCCTGCCTGCCTGCCTGCTTGCCTGCTTGCCTACTTGCCTGCTTGCCTGCTTGCCTGCTTGCCTGCTTGCCTGCTTGTCTGCTTGCCTGCCTGCCTGGCTGGCTGGCCGTCTGTCTGTCTGTCTGTCTGTCTGTCTGTCTGTCTGTCTGTCTGTCTGTCTGTCTGTCTGTCTGTCTGTCTGTCTGTCTGTCAGTCTATCTGTATCCACGCATGTATGCATGCATGTACCGTGCATGCATGTACGCCTGTCTCTATGTGTGTGTGTATGTTTATGTGTAAGTGTGTGTACATGTATGTATGTATGTATGTACGTATGTATGTATGTATGTATGTATGTATGTATGTATGTATGTATACATGCTACATGTATACATATGCAGGTTTGTAAGAAGGAAAGAAGGAAGAAGCATGAATATGAGCACACGACCAGCGGCTGACCAGCGAGCATGCAAATACAACCACACTTGCAAGTAGAGACATACATCTGATATGGCATATGCATATGTAGTGTGTATATTGTTATATAATATATATATATATATATTCATATACATATATGTATATATGTATATATATATATACACAGTATATGTATATGTATATATGTATGTATAAATATCGATACGTCTACACACACATACTTACATATACATATATATATATATACACGTACACATATCTATGTATATACATATACATATATGTATATACACGTACACATGTATATCTCTTTGCACAGGTTGCTGGATGCATCTGTCGCCCTGCGCTCTTTGCTGCGAGCGAGGATAGAACTGGCATCATCCCTGCCTGGCGTCTGGTGAAGGCGCGAAGCTAGTGTTGGCACTGGGCAATTTGTTTTGGGTTTGGGCTTGCTGGGAGCCACTGCTGCATGCTTGAGATGTGAGATTTTAGGAAACCGATGTTGCACTTGGAGCTTGGAGGACGATGCTCACTTTCGCGACTCGATGGAAGCACTCCCAAAGGAGACTTGCAATGTGCTGGGATTGAGCAGAAACCTGTTAACGAGTTTATAAGGTATCCCTAAAAAGGAACTACAATGGAGACTATAGGTAAACCCTAAACCAAAAACCCTAAACCCTGGTAGCAGAGGAAGTAGGCTCTGAGAAGGCCGAGGAGCGGCTTCGGACACAGGTTGGTAGTAACTAGACTGTGCCCTTCTGTTGTACTTATGGTTTAGGGTTTAGGGTTTAGGGATGCTGGTAGGCAAAGAGAGGGTGGGAATTTTCGATCTGAAACTCTCTTAGTCCAGGCCGATTACCAGCTTTGTGTTTGCGTGCTAACGCAGATCACGAGGGATGCAAACGGCTTTGCAGACAAGCACCATAAACCCTAAACCCTGAATCCTAAGCCCGCCAAAAACGGCGTATGATGTTTTTTTGTGGATCCCTTGTTCTTCATAATTAGCATTGTTACAATAGTATAAGCAGAATATTGATAAGAGTTATTATCGTCATATTCGTCATCACATGCCATCAGCACAGATCTATTGACTTCGGCAGTAGGATCCATCAACTTGTCTAGCATTGTCTGATCTTCACACTTTCTGGATGTAGCAAGTATGTGGTTCATGAAGCACATGCTATCTGTAACGGTCGATACCAACCAGCAACCTGCAAAATGCGAAGGAAAGAAGGACTTGGCTAAACGAGGAATCTAAACTGAAAGGCTCGCGATTTAACCAGATGTGCCAGGTCACCACTCTACCTCAGTGCAAAGAGCAGTTCACACGGAGCAAGACAATGCGACGACTGACGTGGGTCAATACACACCAGTCCCAAAGCACGCTTGCAATGGGCCACTTTCAATGCCTCCCGTTAGCCAACAGAAATATTGGTCGATTGCATTGGTGGCCACCACATGCTGTCTGCCAAAGTCTTCCATGACGTGCTCGGACTGCCATAGTCCTGCCTGCCTTGTTCATTTCCTCGTTTGAGACATTGGGATGCGTGCTCGCCTGTCGCAGATGAGATGCTGCGGCGGCCTCTGTGACACTGTCTGCTTATTGAGATTGCAAGTGTGATGCATGCAGTCAACCGATCCTCGAAACCGCGACGCAGTGGAGCGAGGGAGCAGTGCCGTGCTGATGCTACAAATCTCTGCTCTCTACACCAACCGTGCTGCGTGTTCATGCAACCTTTCCTTCCAGACTCCACTCCCTACCTTCAAAGACCAGATCGAAAGCACAATCTGAGGTCGGAAAGCCCTCGCCCCACCTCAACCTTCTGCTCTTTCAGTAATCTGATCACCCCAAATTGCCAAACTCGAAACCGTAAAACACTGAAGCCGTCAACATGCGCGAAACGCTGAGAACACCAAAGCCCGAAACCGTAAGCAACCCTTATGAGGATCTCTAGCGGAATTCTTGAAGGCCCTTCAAAAGGGCCCCTAATGCCCCAAAGTTTGAAACCATACACTCTTTCCTTAGAGACAACCCAAGAAATCCTGAAAACCGAATACAATCCACTTTCTCCCTCTCTCTCCTCTCTCCCGCTCGCTTTCTCTCTCTCCCTCTCTCCCTCTCTATCTCTCTCTGTCTCTCTCTCTCTCTCTCTCTATCTCTCCGTCTAAAACCCTGAAACTCATAAACTTCTTGTAAAACCCTGAAAGCCGAAAAGCCTGAACACCTCAAACCCTAACCCCTACAAATTGAAAAACCTTAAGCTCAAAGCCGGGGTGGCAGCCACAGGAGCTGCAGGTGCTCGGTCTCCTCAAAGCCGGGTCCTCATCATCAGGGTTTATATATATATATATATATATTGTTAATTTTCTTACACATATTTATACATATATATATATATAAATATATGTAGAAATATAAATATAAATAAATATATATATATATATATATACACACATGTATGTACACACTTGTGTATGGATAAGGAATACGCTGTGTATCTCTATATATATATATATACTATATACACATGTGTACATATCTGCACATACGTATGTATGTATGTATGTATGTATGTATGCATGTATGTACGTAGGTAGGTATGTATGCAAGTAGGTAAGTAGGTAGGTAAATATAGGTAAGTAAGTACGTACGTCAATAAGTAAGTAAGTATGTGTGTATGTATGCACATATGTGTGTATGTATGTACATTGTACGTAAAAGTTTGCAAGCATGCAAGACAGGTATGTACGTATGCATGTATGCATGTATGCTTGTATGTACGTATATATGTATGTATGTACGTATGCATTATGTACGTATGCATGTATGTACGTATGTATGTATGTATGTATGTATGTATGTATGTACTTCTGTACGTGTGTAACACATGCACTTAACCGTTGTCTATTTACGTAGGTTCTCTTGTCTCCATTGGTTTTGGGTAGTTTGGCTTGCGACTATCACTATCGTTTTTCTTCTGCTCGTACTATCAGTATTGTTGCTACTGTCATTCTTATTACTTTTGATAGGATCCTTGCGATAGTCATTGAGGCTTTCATTCATGCATGTAACAGCATCAGTTTGTCTTTGTTGAATGCATCTCGTGATTGCTACATTCGTGTGTACAGGACAACGGCAAATCATATTAGTCCTTATGCGATACAAAACTTCCGAGGATTTCAGCCATCAACGCCTTGGCAGGTTCAAGAGTGTTTTTTTGGATCCGTTGGCTGAGCGGTTCACCCAGCTCCCTTCCATTGCTTGTGTTCCACTGATGTTTACTCCGGAACCCCTCACCTCAACTAAGCCCTAAGCTTGAAGCCCCTGAAGGCACAGGCCCTGATGGGTAATCAGCTGAGCTGGCACGCCATTGAGACGGCCCTGGCACGCGCTGTGTCCATGGAGATTATCAGCGAGGCTCCGGATGGGGACCGAATCGGTTTCTCCAAAAGCCAACACAACGGAATGCAGACAACGATAATAGTAGCAACCATCATGGTAGGCTGCTTCGAGGAGTCACGACTATACCAGCAAGAAAGCCCAAGGGGCAGCAATAGACAGACGTCTGATAATAATTGAGTCGCCACGACGGTAGCAATGTCAAGAAGGCCAACAGCAAAGCAGCTGGCTCTAACGAAGGTGCTTCCTTTTCAAGCTGATGACTATACATTTAGAGGTTGTCACCACGGTCATAACCGTAATCATATTTGTGGTTAGAAGATTTATCATGGTAACGATCAACATCCTCGTCGTCGTCGCCCTCATCGTCATCCTCATCCTCAGCATCGTCATGCCATCATCACCACCATCGTCATCGTCATCATCTTGCTCCAGCTGGTGATGATGCCCCGCCTTCAGGAGGACCTGGATGCCTTCAGCAAAGATATGCTCATCAAGGCCGCTGCTGAGGTGAAGGAAAGCCGGCATTTCTCAGAGCTCAAGGACCCGTCGTTTAGGGTTTAGGGTTTAGGGTCTAGGGTTTAGGGTTTAGGGTTTAGGGTGCAGGCCTCTGAAGGTCGGTTCCAAGACGATTTTACTTAGAGGAGTCGGTGGCATCACGCGGCACAAATGCTCGGGACGGGGGCGAATCCTCTAGTTGGTGGCTTCGTTTCCAGGTCCTCTCGAAACTCCCCTGAGTGCCGCAGCAGCAGTCCGAAGACCAAACCGGGAAACCCCCAAGCCTTCAACCTCAAACCCTGAAGCCTAAACCTAAAAGCCTAAATCCTCAAACCCTAAACCCTACACCTTAAAACCCTAAACCCCCCACCCTCAGGACTTAAACCCTAAACCACCCACCCTCAGGACTTGCATATCGTTCTGGAAGATGCAGCTCGGGAGTACCTGGAGCTTCAGGCCGCTGCTTCCTGGCCACCGGCCATCGGGCCCAGGGGGTTTTAGGGGTTTGGGGGTTTGGGGGTTTTGGGGTTAAGGGGTTTGGGGGTTTGGGGGGTTTGGGGGTTTAGGAGTTTAGGGTTTAGGGTATAGGGTTTTAGGGTTTAGGGTTTAGGGTTTAGGGTCCAGACATATACATCTAGTATCGGTTTACGTATGTATGTATGTATGTATGTATGTATGTATGTATGTATGTATGTATGTATGTATGTGTGTTGGAGCCAGGTCAAGCTTTCGCCGCTTGAAGTCCTGACTGCTCTCTCGTCGTTGGAAATCCTCAAGGCTCCGTCTGACTGCCATGAGTTTAACCGAGTTATCCCGAGTGGACCGTTCTTCGAGATTCTGTCAGGTCTCTGAGGAGGTGGTTCAGCAGCTGAAAGCTGAGATGAGCGACAAAAGCACATCTTGATCGACGGCAGGTCGATGTACCTTTGTACATGACCAAAGCAGCTTTGCCCATGGGGGTAGCTAGAATAGAATTAGAATATGCCTTGGTTTAGGGTTAAGGGTTTGGGGTAAGGCTGCAAACTGCGAGCATCAGGACCATGAGTAGTTTTCATCCACTGCTATCTTGGCCCATCAGTCTCCACTTTCCTGAACGGTGGAGCGGTAACATACTGCCATCCGGCACCAAGTGCCCGTGATGTATCTGAGCGATCTCGGCACAGCAGGCATCCTTCTTCTGTTGGAGAGAAACGGTGATGCCACAAGGAAGCTTCAGGCTCTAACTTTCTGATGCACTGCAGCCAGCCGCGAGCGAAGCCGATGCTGCGAGTTTTTAAGATTCTCGCAGTTTCCCAAGAATTTGTTCGGCAAGTGCCCATGTCCCCCCCGCCTCCAGATCTTTTCAAGCGCATGACGGGGTGGTAGTCATGGGAACTCCCCCTTGCATGTGCAGACTTGCCTCCGGCTGCCCGGTTGGCTGCCCGGGGTAACGCGCGAAGTCTGAAAAAACTTTGATTCCGTCCTGCATCGCAGAGCTGCCGCAAAGTTGCTGAACAGATATTCTGACAGCAGACAGTAACTGGTCCTCGCCGCCAGTTGAGCTGTGGGCATGACTTCTTCACGTGGCGCTTCGAGGCAGAACTCGCATGGAGCGTGCTTTTTCAGGGTCCGGGTCGGGGAGAAAGCTTCAAGATGTGTCTTCTCAGGGCTCCCTGAAGATCGAGTCCGAGGATTCCTCGGATCAGTTGGCCTGGTGCTTATACTACGGCCTACCTACTAGTAGAAGCCCGCAGAACGTAGCTCCCAGCCCAAGAATCTCTGAGGTGGTCGCCTTCTCCGAGGAGAACCCTGGCCTCCTGGATGCCCACCCAAGAGAGGCTGCCCTTTCTGAGGAGGCTCGACACACAGCTCAGGTCTGGGCCTGAGATGTCAGCCAATCCACCAAGCCGTCACTTTGGGTTTTGGGTTTAGGGTTTAGGGTTTAGGGTGTGAAATCAAGGTGCTAAGCAAAGTTTCAAGCTTTCACGCACTTTTTCTTCACGTGCTCACATGACGAAGCTCAGTGTTGTGCGCCGCATGGGTAACTTGGGCGCAAGGGGTCTTGCTTCGCACCGGACAGGTCAACCTTGTCGCCCTGTTGAGTTGGCAGCTGGGCGAAAGGTGCTTCACGACTGTCATAACTGCCGTAGAACCCCTGAATCCCTTGATTTTGATCCCGAAACCCCTATGTAAGCCCTATAAAGCCGACTAAAGGCTAAAACCCCCAAAGAGAAGCCCCAAACCCTAAACCCTAAACCCCAAAAACTTCCGGTGAGGGTTTCTGATGGCAGGCCCGAGCACATGATGGCGGTCGTTCGCTCGGGCTCCGGCTCGGGTGGTGGTGATCTGGGAGGGAGCCGTGAGCTGAGAAAAGCTGAGAAAAGGATTGAAGTTTAGGGTTTAAGGGTTTAGGTCAAGGGTTTAGGGTTTCAGGGTTTAGGGTTTCAGGGTTTAGGGTTTAAGGGTTTAGGGTTTCCTCTTTGGTTTTGAGGGCTTGGCTGCATCGGAGATCTGCTTGGACAGTTTTTGAAAACGACGGCTTCTCA